TTTAACCACTTCTTTAAAATTATCATAGGTTAACCATGCAACCTCAAAACGAAAAGGCCTCATGGTACTACTTAAAATTCTATGATTCTTTAGTTTCAAAAGGACTAGAACATGGTTTGACTTCAAAGGGTTGAGGTGAGTGACTTTTGCTTCTAGGAAATCCATCCTTCACTCATAAGAAGCTAACACTTTATCTAATCTTTCAAACAGAAAGCCTCTCCGCCAAGTATACAGAGAACCTTGAAACCCAATATCGATTAAATTATTCTGCTGAACAAAATCATAGAAGGCTTTATCTCCACAGTGACTCCTTGATCCAGAGCCATTACTTCTTTCAAATTCTCATAAGATTGCATTAAAATCTCCCACGAGTGCCCATGGTCGATCAATCCTTGGAGCTATACTATACAGATCCCTCCGTAGTTTAATACGGAATTGTGGATGAGGGCTAGCATATATGAAGGTATAGAACCAGTGTGAAGCACCCCATCTAACCTTGATATGTATAAATTGAAACGATTGAGTCACAATTTCTAGGTCCCATTTTTGGGTGTCCTAAAAATACCAAATACCGCATGCATGCCCATGAGCATCCACAATATGAACACCATCAAGCTTTATACAACTAGCAACTTGTTTGGCCCTCTTGCCATTGATGTGAGTTTCGAGTAAACAAAGCACCCCACGTCATACTCCTTTATGACATCATTCATTAATGAAGAAAACCCTTTCGGACTTGCTCCTCTACAATTCCATGACATCAGATTCATTGAGAATTATTTTTAGGTTTGGGCACTAAAACCCGAGCAATCTAGTTGCACTCCTACAACCATTCCTTTAGAAGAAGCCTCATAGTTGTTATCTTGAATGATCCCATCGGTAAAATGGTTTCGTAATGCTTTCACAAAGGCTTGCGTAGCTTCATCTAGACTAAGAAAATGCATAATCGCACTGCTCAAATCTAAACTAGAATTCTTATTAAACGAGATCGAAGTGATGTCTTTTAACCCCTGTAGAACTTTCCTTGTATTCTCCTATTGGTCCATCCTTGGAGAATAACTATGATGTTGTGTTGATGAAAAGAGCCCCACAAGGGTAATTTCTTGATGAACAAGAATATCAGGCATATTGGAATAATGATGTGTTAAAAAGTTTAGGGTTTAGGTTTTTTTTTTCTTTTTTTTTTTTTACGTCTAGACAGGTTCTGATTGGAATGGTTACCACGTTGAGGTTGAGGATTTTTTCCTCCTTCTTGATTATGAATCTTATCCTAGAATAGAATTTTTTACATGGGCCCACCATTATGCATATCATACACATGCAGATTTTTCGCTACCTGAATATTCTGAGAAAAGATCATATCTGAACCATTTTGCAAGATAATCACTTTCGTTTTAGATTTTCTTCAACATTTCACCAGCATCCAAGGCCCGTAAAGCTCTTCCCATTCTGGGTA